GTTTTTTTTTAGACCTCTGGGAATGTATTTCATGTAATACTTCACTCTATGCGTGTTTACTGACAACTCTATTTATGTATCTGTAAATATTTTGTGGAAAAAAATATTAACAAGTGTAGATTAATAAATATTTTAAAAAATTCATTACTGACATGTGTAAAATTATTGTTTGTAATGGATTTTTAAATCTGTTAAATTCCCATGGGGCTATGCACTCTGTTTAGCATTACACCATTCCCCCACATCACTAAACCAGCTCCTCATACACTTGCACAAATATAATTAAAATTATTTTGTTACAAAGCTTCCTAACACACTACCATAACATTAACCTACACCCTAAAATTATCTTCCCATACAACATTAACCCATACCCTAACATTATCTTCCTATACAACACTAACCCATACCTTAACATTATCCTCCTATACAACATTAACCCATACCTTAACATTATCCTCCTATACAACATTAACCCATACCCTAACAATATCCTCCTATACAACATTAACCCATACCTTAACATTATCCTCCTATACAACATTATCCTCCTATACAAACATTAACCCATAACCTAACATTATCCTCGTATACAACATTAACCCATAACCTAACATTATCCTCCTATACAAAATTAACCCATAACCTAACATTATCCTCCTAGACAACATTTAACCCATACCCTAACATTATCTTTCCATACAACATTAACCCATACCCTAACATTATCTTTCCATACAACATTAACCCATACCCTAACATTATCTTCCCATACAACATTAACCCATACCCTAACAGTATCTTCCCATACAACTTTAACATATACCCTAACATTATCCTCTTATACAAAACTAACCCATACCCTAACATTATCTTCCTATAAATCATTACCCATACCCTTACACACTGGCCTATACATCATTAACCCATACCCTTACACACTGGCCTATATATTAACCGATGCCCTTACACACTGGCCTATATATAATTAACCCATGCCCTTACACACTGGCCTATACATTATTAACCCATAACCTTACACACTGACCTTTACATCATTAACTCATGCCCTTACACACTGGCCTATACATCATTAACCCATACCCTTACACACTGACCCATATATCATTAACCCATACCCTTACACACTGACCCATATATCATTAACCCATACCCTTACACACTGGCCTATACATCATTAACCCATAACCTTACACACTGGCCTATTCATCATTAACCCATAACCTTACACACTGACCTATACATCATTAACCCATAACCTTACACACTGACCTATACATCATTAACCCATACCCTTACACACTGACCTATATATCATTAACCCATGCCCTTACACACTGGCCTATACATCATTAACCCATACCCTTACACACTGACCCATATATCATTAACCCATACCCTTACACACTGGCCTATACATCATTAACCCATAACCTTACACACTGACCTATACATTATTAACCCATACCCTTACACACTGGCCTATATATAATTAACCCATGCCCTTACACACTGGCCTATACATCATTAACCCATACCCTTACACACTGGCCTATACATTATTAACCCATTTTCTTATACACCCAATGCTGTTGTGTCTTTTCCAAATAAGGGGGCGTCACATGAAAAGTTGGAGACCGTTGGCCTAAATGTTCACATAATGAGAAATAGTTCACATAGTAAGATATCATATTTACATTTATACAAGCATTTAATATTATGCACAAAAACAAGGTGGGAAAATCATTTTTCCACCCAAGACATGACACATCTTTAATTTGCCTCTGGTGAATACAATACCGAATATCTTCAGAAACGGAAGAAACAGAAATGTGAATGCTAAGTTACTGTTAATTAGTTTCAACTCTTTCGGTAACAAGGGACGCAAGCAGGTGCTGATCTGTAATTTAACTGTCTTCTGGTATCCAATGAATTTAAACATCAACAACAAACAGAACATCTGCAGGTGAGGTTTTCAAAATGTCTACCCCTAAAAAAAATGCTGATATGAACAAACATAAAGAGATAATAGATTAAATAACCCAATGAATTTAAAAAGGTTTCTCACAGATTGGAAAACCAACACTGGTTATAACTACAAAAAAGATTTTCTGAAACACTTGAACAGAACAGACCAAGTCACAGTTTTTCGCTTACGCACTGGACACTGCAGACTCAATAAACACTCACATAAATTAGGTATGAGCCAAACAGCTCTCTGCCGGTGCCTTCGTGCTGAACAGACTCCAGAACATGTCCTGCAAGACTGTCCTCTCCTGGCGGAGCTGCGGAGCGACATATGGCAACACCCAGTAGAACTGACAACTAAGCTTTGGGGAAACCTAAGAGACCTTGAAAAGACATCCCAGTTTATGCCCCACAGTGGATTATGCGCATGACCAGAGATCGCTGAAGAAGAAGAAATAGGTTTCTCCAGAATGCACACACAATTTCTAAATCTTACATGTGTGTGACATTTTAAAGCAATTTTCGAATATCAGATTTAAAAAAAAGAAATTCATAATTTCGCAAATGTCCTCTTTTTTTTTCCATATGGACATTTCTTCCTATAGTCCATGCGATGTAATTCTGGTCGTCATGCCTATCCACTGCTTTCTCACTCGTGCACTACTTAAGGTGTCTTTTTTAAAATAAAATTTAATGACCCGGTCTTCAGTTTAAGGGAAACACTGTTATCATCATAATCATCAATTTCCAATTTTGTTATTAACCGTTGTGGGGAGGAACAGTATGCGATCCACTGCTTGAAGAGTAGCCATGGCTACTTCATTCTAAGCAGATGCAGAAACTCTTTAATGTCATCAATCCATTTTCTGCTAGTGCGACCTCTTGCTGTTACATCAGACCTTTATGTGTAGTCCCTCTGTTGGTAACTGTTCTGGCTGCATTTGAGTGAAATAACCAAACCATTTCATCTTCTGTTTCTCAATGAATCAGGGGCATAGTGCTGCTCCCACAGTCTGCTTGATAATTATCATTTCTAACTTTGTCTCGGATGATTAAGTTGGCCGCTTTCCTCAGTCCCTATAGCAGTGTAGCGCCCCCTTAGTTTACGGTGAGGAAGAGTTCATGTCCCAACAGTCTGGAACTGAAGGATTTTTACACAGATCGCTAATAATTTTGTTTAAAGTTTATTTATATAAGTAATTTAAAAACCAAAACCAAAGGGAATACATTCCCTTAACCTTAAAAAATTTATAGTTTTTTTTTTTTTTTAATACATTGTCACTATGCAACTGTTGATAAAATGTATATTATGAAGGCAGCTCAATTTTAGAAAAAGCTTTTTTTTTTCTCACAATTAACCCCCCTCCCCCTTTATGCTATTTTTAGTAAATATAATCATATCCAATCATTAGATCACTCTGGTCTGAGGAGAATGGTGCTGCGGGGAGTTAGCAGGGGATCTGGCCAACGTTTAACACTCAAGGAAAGGGAAAAACGGATGTAAAACCAAACAGTTACTACTACCATTGGAATTGGAGCTCTTTGCTTGCTGCTGAAGATGGGGATAAAGTGCTTATGGGAGTGTCCCGAGTGCTGTGTGATGATTCTTAACTCAACATTTTATCCAGGGGTTTGTAATGGATGACGACAACGGATTAGCTGCATCTGAGGCAAAAGGGCTAAATATATATATATGCTGATGTCAGAAGATGTTGGAAAAATTAAAATTTTGACACCAATTTGAAACAGGAAAAAAAAAAAATAATAATTAAATATTGACTTTTTGATCTCACTCTGTATGTGACTTCAACTCAGACAAGTGTAAAAAAAAAAAAAAAAGTACTTAACAACAAAAACAATAAAGCAGCTCGTTGCTGGTTTAAACTTGTTTGCATAGTTATCACATGCTCTTAATCCTGTTGTTGAGGTAGGCAATGTCTTTAACATAACACCTGTTGCAGATCTGCAATGCTTCTAGCAAGGATGCTGCAGTTATGGGATTTATTATGGAAGAACTTTAGAGTTTTACACTATCCCATCATTCCTTTCAGCTTCAAATTACTCAGGCACATATTCGATTTCCCATTTTTTGGGTTCATCATGCACATAAAAAGCATATATCTCCACCACCTTCATACCAAACCTTCTGTAGATGAAAGAGTTTAGATATGTGCTATTTACCAAACTGACAAATTCATTTAAATATCTACTATTAACCACTGTCCGGATAACTTAAGACTCAATGTGAACTATTCATAATTTAACCTAATGTGAACTATTCACAATTTAACCTAATGTGAACTATTCACAATTTTCCAGTTTAAGGACTGACAAACACATTTTTAAATATTCACTATTAACCATTTTTATGTTGACCAAATCAGTTACATATAAACAATTTACCATTTTCCAGTTTAAAATTGACAAATTCAGTTAAATACTCACTATCCAATTTTCTAATTTAAAATTTACAACCTCAAGACATAATGATTGTTTTTTTTTTAAATTACACCGTTTCCACAACGGAAGGTTGGCTAAAATGAATCCACTGCTAAATATGGTACAATTTTAATGTTTGCAGAGATTAATTTGTAGTTCTATAAGATCAGTTCACAAATAATTATGACAGATGTTGCAAAAACTAAACCAACCACCAAATCTGTCTACCCTGAGCACTGTAGCAGACACAGCTTGGGAGCCGCTTGACTAGTACTGCACCACATTCTGATTACAACACTGCAAAAAGACTTGTGAGAGAGAGACAGAGAGAGAGATAGAGAGAGAGAGAGAGAGAGAGAGAGAGAGAGAGAGAGAGAGAGAGAGAGAGAGAGAGAGAGAGAGAGAGAGAGAGAGAGAGGACTATTAGCAACACAGGTGTTTCTTTTTCAGAGACATTTGGCTGGAGAGGTCTAAGTATTAGCCAGTGGTCGAGGACGTTTCAAGCGTCTCCTCACCCAGCTGATGACTGATGATAGGGACTTCCTCTGAGGCAAATTAAAGATGTCTTCTTGTCATGGGGCTGGCCGAGGCTTTAGTATTAATTTACCATTCTGTAAAAATTAAAACAATGAAAGTTTAGAATTAGTTTACCATTCTGTACAAATTAAAACAATGAAAGTTTAGAATTAGTTTACCATTCTGCACAAATTAAAACATAGAAACTTTAGTATTTGTTTTCTGTTTTGTAACAGAAATATTTAAAACATGCAAAAGTTTAATATTAGATTTTCAATTTTGTAAAATTTAAATAAGGAAACCTATTATTAGTTTTCTGTTAAAAAAAATTAAAGCAAGGAAACTTTAGTACCAGTTTTAATTATATAAAAACTAAAAGAAGCAAACTTTACCACTAGTTTTCCATTCTGTAAAAATTAAAACAAGGAAAACATTTCTGCATGTTTGTATGGAGTTGAGTGTGTGCATATAATGCTACTGTAAGAATGTAGTCATCACTATTATGTGCAGTCCAATAAGTGATTCACCAGTTCACATGATCACCAGAATCATTGATCAGGTCAGTGTTCCTATCTCACACCATCACATGGCTAAGCTATCTGTGTTTATCTCTCTGCCTCCTTCCCCATAAATCTTTCAAGTGATTTAAAAGTTCTCAAGGACTAATGAATAATGCTCCGATCTCCTCAAAAGCTCCACAAGTGTAAAACGACTGATGATGTCTGTTCTGTGTTGGTTAATGAAACATCTTGTCCCCTTAGTGAAATATTCATTTCTTGCAGCTCCACGGTTGCACCCCCATGTCCATCAGTCTAGATAAGGATACTTGAGGACATTCCTTCTAATTACATAGATTTACACTAAAAAAAAAAACACTGTTTAAATTCTAAAACCAGTTTACTGTTTGCCTCTATGTCAAAGCCTCTGTGTCGAAGAATTTACTATATGTAACAAATGTAAATGAACAGCAAATATTGCAAATAATGCTGCTGTAAGATCATAATTACATAAAGCATATGTTGTAAATTATGCTGTTGTAGGAATGTAGTGCATGTACCGAATGTTGCAATAATGTAGTGCATTTGGGAATTGCATGGGAAGGATAGGCAGCCAGGAAGAGAACCAAACATCCAGGCTTATCGCTTCATGCTCCAAAAGCCGTAACTGCTATTTGACTAGACTAACTACCTTTACATTCTTTTGAAGAGCCTGCATCTGCCTCAGAGGCAAGGAATTAGCAGTCTGCATAGAAATAAAGCAGATCTGTAAAATGGATGATCAGGCAAAAACCCAAGTTCTGGAACAAGACCAGTCCCGAAGCGGACGAACAATCAGAACTTTCCACCGCAGTTCACAGCCGGCAAACTTTAAGAAGATGGAGAAGAAGACTACCGCTACCGTTTCACCGACCAATGGGCGGAACTTTCCCTTTAATACTTTGGCCAGGACGCCAGCCTTGAGAACTTTACTCTGCAATCTCCAACTGCCATGGCAGTTTATAAGAGGTGAGCCAGTACGTATAAGTGACCTTTGTTCTCATGCCTTAAACAAGCACCAGAAATCTCCAGGAAGTAAAGGTGGCAGGTATGATGTTGATTACATCAGCCACTAAGTTCTCAATGCACCACACGTACAAAAGGATCCTTTTTCTTAACGTGCTTTGTTTACTCTGAGGTGCCAGGTTCGATCCCAGCTGCGGGTAAGAGGGCAGTAGACTGCCTTGTGTTGGTTTGTTTTGACACCGGTATCAAGAGCCGACTGTTCAGTAAACAACTGCAAATTAATGAACGTGAAACTGATTAGTGACCACAAACAGCCAAATGAGGCTGTAGTTCTACTCGTCGTACAAACTGCCATTTTTTAATGAATAGTCTGACCTAAAGTTAAGAATCGGGGTGCCACCACGTCGAAGTGGTCAAGCTGTTGTCCTCCCATTCTGAAGGTCGCAGGCTTGTTTCGCAGCTGCATGGTTCAGTTAATAAGTGCAATTTTCTTTACAGAAACCTCTCAGGATCATCACCAGAGCTACTGCGTTCGTGCTTCATGTCACACTCTCAACAGGCAGCTAGTGATTCTGTGATAAGAGACTGAGCAATATGGGATCAAACCCAGTGCAATGAAGCTGATCATCACAACTTTTAAAATTAAGAACGCTACATTCCACAACATACACGTAGATTTGAAAATAATACGTACATCATCACAGGACATATTATATTCAGCCAAGAATGTACGGCATCTGGAGGCTATACTGCAAACAACTTTAAGGATAATATGACACCCAAAAAAAAAAAAAATATATATATATATAAAGCGTACTGGAAAAATTATAGCAGAAAGCATGGTACCAGGAAGGAGGGGCAGGGGCCGACCCACACGAAGATGGGTAAAGGATATAAGTGACTACTAAAGTATGAAAGTGCATAAGTTGGGAGAGCTGGCGAGAGACCGAGTTTCTTTCAGAAAGACTGTGATGAGAGCGACATTCTGCAAAGGACCTTCTACATGATGATGATGATAAATATATACACACACACACACACACACATGCACATTACCTTCAAATATAAATGGAAAGTAAGCTTCTATCTCAATAGTGACAAAAGATGAGAGCCATAGTAAAATTTCATCAAAGAAGACACAAACAACAGAGTGATCAATTTACTGCCTGGAATATTTCGCTGCAAGCACTCACACACCTGCATAAGCACTCACAAACACACCCCCATATGCAAGCACTCACACACCCACCCCCATATGCATGCATGCACACACACAACCCCCCCCCCCTCCCCATATGCACGCACATGCATACACATCATTTTAAAATTTTACTTTTCTATAAAGTTGGGGGCCCCTTTACATGTTTTCCCTCTACTCAGATATTGGGGGTTGGGGGAGGGGGGGGGGGGAGTGGGGTTGAAAAGCCTTAGACCCAGTTCCTAAGGTAAACACATACTGTCTATTGTCAAGGATACATTGATGCAGCAACCACTCTTTTGTGTATGCCAAAGAGGAACAGCAATATGAGGACAAGGCAGCTGATGCTGAAGAATGGGTGGTTCCACAGCGACTGCCACAGACTCACCTGGGGACAGACAGACAAGTAATCACATCATCACAATCATCATCATCATCAAGCGGCTTGCCGACTGGCATTGGTGATCATGCCTCTCCACAACTTGCAATCTCCAAGAGCATGTATCAGTTTGTGTGCTGACGCTCTTACATCTTCTTATCTCTACTACTGGAATGCCTTGCAGCGTCAGGGCAAGAAGAGACCTCTGCAACGGGTCCTCCTGTTTGCTTCAAATATAGTACTTTGTGTCTCCAATACTTCCGCAGTCCAACTTCTGCTGCGGTTGACCTCTTGCTCTGTTACCGCTGTATCTGTATAACAATGGTCTCTGTGGTGCCGTCAAAAAACTTGTTACATGGCCAAACCATCTGATCTGCTGTCTATCGATAAAGTTCAGTATTGGTTCTATGCCAACATTCCTCCTGATGTCACCATTCCTCCTGATGTCACCATTCCTCCTGATGTCAGTCACCATTCCTCCTGATGTCACCATTCCTCCTGATGTCACCATTCCTCCTGATGTCACCATTCCTCCTGATGTCACCATTCCTCCTGATGTCACCATTCCTAAGTTGAGCATAAATGAGGTGACACAAGACTGTCAAGAATCTTCTCAAGTTGTTTTCCTCTATCTATATTTCCACAAAACTTTCCTCTACACCAGCCCAGTGTCACCATCACCTCGTGACAACCGCTACACCAGCCCAGTGTCACCATCACCTCGTGACAACCGCTACACCAGTGCTGCAGTCCTGAACTTCTTCTTCTGCTCACCGTCCACTAAGGAAGCACTCAGGCCCTTAACCAGCTCACACCAACTGTCCTTTCTTTTGCTTTGGCATGCAGCTCACCCCAAGTCCTCTTCATCTTCAGTCTCTTGTTCTTTTTTCCGTGTCTTTGTGTGTGTGTGGGTCTGGCTTTATTCCTTTGTCCCTGTGGGTTCAAGTGTGCCAAGACAATGTGTGTGTTATCCAATACTTGCATGTTTTTCTTATTTGCTTTCCTGAATTTGTTTAATTCACCCCTAACCTAAAGCTCTATATTATTGATTATATTCTTTAATTCCATCTGTTCTGTGCAACTGGTTTCATCTGGGTAAAGATTCACAGACATTTACATGTGTCACAGCATTCAGGAAAAGCCTTTATTTAGCTCCATCTCCTTCACTGACAGCCAGCAAAGAGTCTCCATACTAATGGTACCCCTTGTTAACCACTCATCTGGTCTTTTTCCTGAGTCTCGAGTGGTGTCCAGAGCCACTCCACACACTCCCCGCTATGGGTTTTCAGCATCTTCCATTTGACTTGTTACCTTGCCCCACAGGGAAGAGATCACCTCTGTGTTGTGCAGTTGCAGTGCACCCCCCTCCCTCCCCCCAAACCAGCCAGCCTCTCTGCCAGCTCATTCTCAAACACTCCTACATGGCCCAGGCAAAACTTCTACGTGACTCTCCTCCTCTGTGACCCCTGGATTGATGCGACCCGTACCTACCACATAAAGACATCCATGACTCCACCTTCTAAGCCTGCTAGGTTAATCCGATAGAGACTATGACAACATATGTGACTGATATTCTGTGCAACCACCAGTCAATCCATGTTCTCCATGTTTCACGAGAGCACTGGTTAGACACAATACTTCTCCCAGCTGGGAATGGAATCCAGACCACAGACTTGGCAGGCAAATTCAAAGCCATAAGCTATTTAAAGTAATACTTTAGTTTTCACGTTAAACGGTTTTTATAAGCTTGAACAAAATAGGGAACTCACATTTTTAATTATATTATTTAAATGTTAACATATGCCATTGAAAGTTGGATAACCAGTAGAGGCATGGAACAAATACATTCACAATCAAATGCTTAAGGAAACTGATGAACATTAAATGGGATAAATACAAGAAAGAAGAAGGAATCAGAGAAAGTTAAAGATAAACAGGTCTCTGGGTGAATTCTAATCATCATCACCATGTCGTGCCACATAGGGTTTTCAGTCTAGTCTTCCATTCAGTTCTATCCTGGTGCAATCTTTTTGATATGGATGAAATTTAGTCTGGCACTTTTAGCCTCTCTCAACATTTGTTTCCCATTTTGGTGCCTGCTTAATTAGTAACACACTGGTGACAAAAATTATTAGCTTGGCAATTTTAGTGTTAGACTGTTTGCAGTGGCACTTCTTACAGCCGCCTTATGCATTTAATGCATGTGTTTGCAATTGGTTTTACTGAGACTGAAGTCTGTCAACTTTTCCACAAAGTGCAGTGATAGACAATGTTTTTGTTCTTGCTGGTACAGAAACGAAACTACTGTTCAGTGACATATATGCTTCAAAGTAGAAACTGCGATTACTTGATTCATCAAAGTTGAACAAATCATAACAATTTTTACTGAACACATGAGAACGTAATACTCACCTGAGAGGTTTCCGGATCCCAAAGCCAGGTCCAGGCTCCAAACATGGTACACAGGAACACAAATATGAAGATGACTGGGAGAAATGAAGACACATACATATAAATAAAGGTGGCAGAAAACAACACATATAAATAAAGGTGGCAGAAAACAACACATACAAAGAAAGGTGGCAGAAAACAACACGTATAAAAAAAGGTGGCAGAAAACAACACACATAATAAAAGGAGACAGAAAACAACATGTATAATAAAAGGAGACAAAAAACAACATGTATAATAAAAGGAGACAGAAAACAATACATAAAAATAAAGGTGGCAGAAAACAACACATATAAATAAAGGTGGCAGAAAACAACACATAAATAAAGGTGGCAGAAAACAATACATATAAATAAAAGTGGCAGAAAACAACACATATAAATAAAGGTGGCAGAAAACAATACACATAAATAAAGGTGGCAGAAAACAACACATAAATAAAGGTGGCAGAAAACAATACATACAAATAAAAGTGGCAGAAAACAACACATATAAATAAAGGTGGCAGAAAACAACACATAAAAATAAAGGTGGCAGAAAACAACACATATAAATAAAGGTGGCAGAAAACAACACATATAAATAAAGGTGGCAGAAAACAACACATAAAAATAAAGGTGGCAGAAAAAAACACGTATAAAAAAGGAGACAGAAAACAACATGTATAATAAAAGGAGACAGAAAACAATACATAAAAATAAAGGTGGCAGAAAACAACACATATAAATAAAGGTGGCAGAAAACAATACATATAAATAAAGGTGGCAGAAAATAACACATATAAATAAAGGTGGCAGAAAACAACACATTTAAATAAAGGTGGCAGAAAACAACACATATAAATAAAGGTGGCAGAAAACAACACATTTAAATAAAGGTGGCAGAAAACAACACATATAAATAAAGGTGGCACAAAACAATACATATAAATTAAGGTGGCAGAAAAACAATACATATAAATATTGGCAGATACATAAAAAATTAGGGTGGCAGAAAACAACACATATAAATGAAGGTGGCAGAAAACAATACATATAAATTAAGGTGGCAGAAAACAATACATATAAATAAAGGTGGCAGAAAACAATATATATTAATAAAGGTGGCAGAAAAAAAAAATATAAATAATGGTGACAGAAAAAGGAGAAACAAGAGTAAACCCACTACCTCTCAAACAAGCATGTCATAAGAGTCGACTAATTGGGGGTTTCCTCCGAAGTCAGAGTGCATCTGCCTGAGAGGCAAAGAACCAACAGTCTGCATACAAATAAGTCAGATCTGCAAAATGGATGTGCATGCAAGTCTAAAGACCAGAGGTGGATGAACAACCAGAATTTTCTGCCAGAGTTTACAGCCAGTGAACGCAAAGAATAAGATATACTGACCCCTGAAATGCTGCGCAGGCAGGAACCCAACCAGTAGCATTAACTACGTATCTCATAAACATGTCACTGTAAACAAGCCGGAAATGTGACATTTATGGACCCAACCAGAATTGTCAACTTTAGGATTCTTGGGGTAACAGGGTTGAGAACTGACATAACAGCACTTGATAGTTTTCATATGCACTCTGATCCCTAATTCAGCAGCCAGCACAGAGTTCTAATTTTGACAGTACCTGTAGCCACCTGACTGAGCGTCCATCTTGCCTCTTCCCTGAGCGTTGGTCAGATTTCCTGGTCACTCCCCGCTGCATAATCTTCTTCAGAAAAAAATGATCTATTTGTGCCTCTGTACTGTTCTTTAGGTCGTTGTGGCTTATGTGTTGCAAACACGCTTCGTAATGCCGGAGTGCCGGGTTCGATCTCAGCTGCGGCAGCTTGTCTTACATTGTTTTCAAAAGTGGTACTGAGAGCTGACCGGTCAAAAAGCAATGGCAAACTACTAAACATAAAATTTGCCTTGAAAAAACAACAGCCAAAAAAAAAAAATGCTGCAGCGGTTTTTGTAACATCCTGTAAAGAATACGCAGCTAACTAACTGTTCTTTCACTACCAAAGGGGCCTTGATAATATCTAGCTTGTCAGGACAAAAATGTAAATATAAGTTCCTGCAGGGAGAAGATTCCACGCTTGGTATCTTGTCTGTCTATTTTGTTTTGTACACATTTCAGGCTGAGAATGAAACACAATAAATGTTTTGTTGACTCATGTCCCTGCCAACTACCTCAAAGCTGCAATGATTTTAGTCACCTCCTCCTCCTCCTCTTACCTGAGGTAACAGACACAGATAAAAGAACACTGAAAACAAGGATTTAGAAGTGGAGAGAGGGGAGGTGGGAGGGGGAGATGAGAGAGAGAGAGAAAGAAAGAGAGAGAGAGAGAGAGAGAGAAAAAAAGAGAGAGAAAAAAAGAGAGAGGTAAACAGACAGATAAACAGAAATATAGTATTAGAGAAAAAGATATACAGAGAGAAACAGATTTTTTTTTAAACCTACAAAGAGATGAACACAAATAATGAGAGAGAGAAAGGAAGGGAGACAGTCAAAGAGGCAGTGGTAAAGAAAACGAGTTAGGGACAAAAAGAGATGAGGCAAACGAAACAAAGAAAAGAACAAAAATAAAGACAGAGAATAGTAAAGAATAATAGGAAGACAAAAGGAGGCAGTGCTATGGGCATATAGCAAGAGATATAGTTTCTTTATCGTTATTTCTTTTCAAAGTCTGGAAGAAGTTGAAGCTCCACTGACAATCATTGCTGACGAGCTGTAGATAAAAGTAATAAAAATATAATATATTTTCATAACTGAATATCATTTTTCATGCGTTTTAAAATTTTAAAAGAAAAAAAATGAACTTGCTTCTCCAGAATCTGGCAGCAGGCTGATGGCCACTGATGACCTCTGTTAGTCTGCGCTCAAAAGCTTTCAGATCTACGATGGAAAAAAATAAAAATTGTCACCCACACTACACATATGTAAATTATGTAATTTTACATTAGGTCCACACAATTTATAATAAACTAATGTAATCACCTCTTAACTGAACCAGCCCACTTTGTGTGTGTGTGTGTGTGTGTGTGTGTGTGTGGGGGGAGGGGCGCAGTATTTTGTCAGCCGTATCAAGTACAGAGTGTATGCAGAATGGGGAAAATGAGCCACCATGACAGGCATGGGAGGCTTAGAACCAGGGAACCAGACCTCCAGGACGACCCAGAGCCAGCTGGGAAGACAACATCCGACAGTTCCTGACTGACACAGGACTGGAATGGAACAAAGCCAGAAAGAAAACTGCTGAAAGAGACGTCTGGCGATCTCTCTGGCAAACCTCTACACCTCAAGGCAGAAAAGGAGCGACTATGTAAGCAAGTAATGGTAATGACAGTTTCAGCTTCATAGCAAACGGGTCACCCCACACTTGCTTCACTCCTGTGCCAACGAAAAACACACAGAATGTTGATTACAGTCCCTTGTGGAAAGATTGACAGACTGCTGTTTCAGCATTATGCGCTAACATACACACACATTAAAAGCATTCGGTAGCCATTAGAAGTGCTAACACAAACAGTCCAACATTAGAAATGCAGTTAATCATCAACGGTAGCAGAGGTAACCAACAAATCAGCAGTGCACACATGATCAATTTTAATCACATAAGGGCACCACCAATATTGCGACGATAAGCCACATGCCATTTTCTAAATCTAAAATTCACAACACCATGTTGGTCACAGTCAAAAAACATTCCAAATGAAATCCACAGCTCACAGGGTCGCACTATGCACTCAACCCAGTAGCTGGGTGACAAAATTATATATCCTTTCAGTCCATGAATGGTGCAAAAATGCAACGGCCACCGTCTGGCAGAAGTAAAAACTTTGCCACGACTCAAAACAGTGGCCGTGCCTAGCGTCCATTTTGACTGTAAGCAAGTAAGATCAAGTACAGAGGATGAGCTGTATACAGCGCTTATTAATTGTTTTCATATAGGAGACTTAAGAGAAACCTTTATAAAATATGGCTATCCTCCAAATAGCGGGCACATATTATGGCGGCCAAAGACAGGGCCTCAGTCATATGTAAATTGCACACTTCCGGCGACTTAATTTGCGGACTTCCGGCAACTACTGCCACCGCCGAGAGTATCTCCCAAGCCGCTACGCTCGGCGTGGGGCTAAACTTGATGGCTGGAACTCACAAGCAAAGCTGCAGGAGATGCGGAAGCTGCTGCTCGTAAGTCCCAGCCATCTAGTTTAGCCAAGTCAGCAAATTAAGTCGCCGAAAGTGCGCGATTAACATGTGACTGAGGCCCTATTAGGGTGTTTTTGCGGCCGCCATAATATGTGCCCGTTATTCAGAGGACAGCCCAAATTATCATATTACCTATAAATACTAAATAAAATTTGGATCATGCTGATATTATCAATGCCCTCAGAGAAATGGGAAGGATAGAGGACTTTGGTGGCAGTGAATCCACATCACTCGCCAGAATGGCAGACTTGGGAATTAAGATCGGCACAGCAAAAAACGAGACGCACACCGGACACGTCAGAAGACTTGTTAATCAACATAGAACTGGTACTATTAGCCATCGGACGTTGGGATTCATACTGAGGGGAGGATCTGAGCACCTATGGACATGTCCGGAGTGCAATGATGATAACCCAACTAACTAACTAACTAAATAAAATACCATGATGACTGATTTGTTCTGGGAAAATCAGAAATTAGCCTAAAAATCTGAAAGAAATTTGCTGCCAACACTCAGGCATATGTTCATACCATCAATGATGAACTGCATTTCTAATGTTGGACTGTTTGTGTTAGCATTTCGCTGAGACAGCAGCCTGTCAATCTTTCTACAAGGGACTGTGATAAACATTCTGTGTGTTTTTTGTTGGCACAGGAGCCGAGCAACTATGGGGTGACCCGTTTGCTATGAAGCTGAAACTAAGACTACCAGATGTGGGGGGGGGGGGGGGGGGGGGGGAGTCATATACAGTGGTTCAGTAGATGATATTGCTAGAACATCTTGGGTTATGAAGGAAGTGGAAGAAAGAATCATACTGATATAATTTTAATTTTAAAAAAATTATCTCGAAATGCTTTCCAAAAGACTGACACCCAGTGATGACTCAAAGAGACAATATTTATATTCGGATGGGAATCCAAGGCGGAAAATCCCATTAACCCCGTTGCACCATATAACACAGTCACATTAGTGTACCCGTCGGTAACAATTGTTTGTGAAATGTGAGCGGGACTGTTATTAGAAAGATATCAATCGTAAAGAATGCATGGTACCACCATACGAATAACTTATTCCCCATACCTTCAGTTTGTTCTGCCATTTTGATTCACAGAGGCCATGAAGTGGAAGACGCATGATGATTGGTTACTTCTCAAATTTTAGCCAATGGATATCAACGTTACTTCTATCTCTGGTCTTGTTCGCCGGAAGTTGGCCGCCATCAGAAACGACAATAATTTACTTTGCGGTGGAAATTTGTTGTTTTAAGTCTTTACGAGAAGAATTGGGTGAGAAAACATAAATATTTGCTTTTAATTTACATAATTAGTTGATAATGTAGTGACTCTATGCTTTTGCACAATATTTATTTGAGTTTCAACACCTGGAAGGTTGATAATTTTCGAAAATCTTGTCGACTAGAAGTTGTGTCCCGTGCGATCGACGTCCGTAAAACGGTACGATAAAGCAGGGACAGAAAATTATTGGTCAATCGTCAGCACCCTTTGACTTTGAAGACACATTCTTTGGACATGTCAGCAAGTTAAATTGTTGCTGCTTTCAAGTTCATTTAAATACGTTCAGGTTAATGTCATGTCATGAAACGAAGAATCGTTAGTAAGTTTTTAGTAGCTGAGAGCTGCGCCTTTTTTTTTAATTTTGGTGATTTTATTTTCAGTTTCCTTTGGTACATGGATTATTTTTTGTTTAGCTTTAACTTTGGCCTTTGAACGATTAATCATTGGATTTGAATGTTGAATTGAAAATTCGACATCACAGCACCTGGGACACTCCCATAAACGCTCCGTCCCCATCTTCAGCAGCAAACAAATAGTTCCGATTCCGGTGACAGTGACACCACCAATAACTGTCTGATTGTATATACATCTCGCCTTTCCCTTTCCTTTAGTGTTGAGCGTCGGCCAGATCCCTCGGTAACTACCCGCAGCGCCGATCTCCTCAGATCATATAATGATCTATTTGTGCTTTCGTTCTGTTTACTCGCTCCCATAGGGCTCTCACAGTATCTAGCTTGTCATACATCAGTTCACAACCAAGTGGTGCAGAACCAGCCAGTCTATCTGCCTGCTCATTTCCCAACACACATGAACTGAAGAGAATATCCAAAGGATGTTAACTACCCGGGACCTCTGAAGTGATGCTTGCCACTCTGCACAGAAAATACTTGTCTCCACCTTTTCAACATGCTCTGTGAGTCAGTGACAATCACGGCCTGTGTGTACAGCTGATTCTCAAGCCAGCAGAATGCAGCAGTGACTGCCTAAACCTCCATTCTAAAAAAAAACGTTGCGATATCATATGCCAGGCTTTGTAAGCGACATCCATTCGCTTTTGCTATGAACCCCCATGCACTTTGTCGGCCCCTCAACAAAGAGCCATCTTTATAAATAATCACATCACTTGGGCGAAAATTGTCATGAATCATTTGTGGAACTTCTGATTCTGCAGCACCAGCTGGCCAGTCCCCGCACTCACGACCCAAAGTGATAAGAACCCTACACAAGTCTGAAACTTGCTCTGACACTTTGACCCACTCCTCACCTCGCACAAATTTATCAAGCCTTCAGACAAGTCTGTGTCTTCAGCTTGTGCCATCCAAGACCTTTCTCTTTTTAGTCTGACCCTTAACTCTACCCAGGGCTTATTGCAGGAGGTGTCTTGTCTGAGATATGACTTTGCTTGCAGAACATTCAGCCTATCTGCAATAGTAGGCAGTGCAAGTATGTATCGCATACATACTACTGGGGTATCTCTTGGTACATCCAGAATTACCCCCATGGCTTCACTCTGTATGCGTTTAAGTTTCATCAGCGGACTCTTTTATATGGTATGCATTCCAAGTACATAATCTATCACTGACAGGATCACATGCTGGAACATAATGAACAGCATTCTTTGTTCCATGTCCATTGCTACCATAATCTTGAGAGCATTGAGTCCTTTTTTGGCATTTCACTGCAACTGCCTCCACATGATCCCAGAAGGACAGGCTTCTCTTAGTCAGTACCAAGACTAAGAGAAGCAAAAAACTGAAGTATATCATCATAATGACACATGGATTGATTGATTAACTTCTTTGGGTTCTATCTCAATATCTCCCACCAAACAGACAGTTAAAAATTTTAGGGGGTGGTAGATAGGCTGCATGCAGTCATGGGATGTAGGTTGGGTTGAAGTTAGGCCCATTATAGATGTTTTGGGGTAGTTAAAAGCATCAGAAAACCGGGAAATCCACTCTTACCACCTTGAAAATATTGTACTGTCCTGTGACGTCAGGGGGGGGAGGGGGGGGGGGAGAGCAGGATATTGGGAAAGCACCCTTCTTTATAAAGTCCCTGTCATGTATGTGATGTTGGTAGTCATATCTGTGATCTTCAGTGCCATGATGTCAGACTGTCCAGCCGCTTCTCTCTCTCTCTCTCTCTCTTTTTTTTTTCTTTTTCTTTCTTTCTTTCTCTCTCTGCTTTCCTTTGCCTCTGTCCCCCTCCAGCTGCTGTGTACCATCTTGATGATGTACTTCAGTTGTTTGCTTCTCTTAGTATGGCCAAAGAATGTAGATTATCAGCTTTCTGACGTGGGCAATCAGTTCTCTTCATTTATCAGTTCCTTACTTTTAAGACATTTTCAGTTTCATTACTCTTTACTCTTTTTTTTTTTTTTTGGTCTGTCCAGTGTGTTTTCATCATTTGCCTCCTACAAAACCACATCTCCACTGCTTCCAAATAATTTTTCACCAGTCATCTCACTGTCCATGATTCACTTCCATATATCAGGATAGGATTTATGTAGCTCTTTAGAATTCTCTTTCTCACCTCATTAGGCCAAAAAAAAAAAAAGATTTCTTCATTTTGTCAAATACTACCATTGCTTGAGGTATTCTTATTTAACATATTACATTTGCTGTTATTAGGGTACCTGTGTACTTAAACATATCAGCTTGCTTTAGGAATGTTCCATTAACTTTGATGCTGCATTTTGGAAAGTCCATTTTCTTTGTAATTACCATTAGTTCTGTTTTGGTGTCATACACCTCTACAAATGCTTAGGTTCAGGACATAAAATATAGACTGTACAGTCCCCACAGTGTGCCTGTCAGACAGAACCACAAACACCTGAGCAGACCTGTCCACTCTACCTACAACTTCGAAAAGACACCTGGCCTCAAGAGCAAAGTGTGCAGAGCAAGCTATGGAGAATCATGAAGGACCTGCTGCTGACATGCAAGTTCATAGAGGCAACCCACCTGATGGTCTGATCCGAGCATACGACACCGAACGCAAAGAAGAAGAAGAATGCGCAAGAAAGAGAGAGATGCACATAGTCTGTCTGTCTCTCTCTCTCTCTCTCTCTCTCTCTCTCTCTCTCTCTCTCTCTCTCTCTCTCTCTCTCTCTCTCTTTCTCTGTTGTAAAAAATAGTCATTCTAGGCAGTACTGAGTTTTTAATATCACATCACAGTGATGTTTTAATGATGAAAGTTGTATAGCATCAATATATGTTTGAAGTGAGTAATACTTTTATTTTCGTTACAGAGGTGGATATGGCGAATGAAAGCCGCAGAGGAGGAGGTTCCTTTGGAGGCAGAGGTGGACCAAATGGTGACAGGGGAGGCAGAGGAGGGTATGAAGAAAGTTCTTATTTTTAAATTAGTCATTAATGTAAATAATTGTTCGTACAGGAAAGTTTGTGTAGTTTTTACGTTATTAAAATTTATGCTATTTTTGTCAACACTTGTCTTGTTTCTGTAATTTTTTTTCTGGTGTAAAGAAGTCTGCATAGGTTATGGTTTTGTCTTTGAATGGAAGTTTTCTTCCTTGTGAGGTTTGATGCTATGGCAGTTGATATCCTGTTATGTCATAGAATATCTTTGATGCGATTTAATTTATATCTAGATTATTCTTTTACTTTTAAATTCAAAATTTTTGTATCCTAAGCAAAGAAAAGCAGTTCGTCATTTATCTATCACAAATTATTATCAAATCATTCTTGTACACACCAAATGCCTTGTGAAAGAAAACCTTATGCTGAAAGGCTGAACAGGGACTAGAGAAAAGAAAGAAGAGTTACCTTGTTGACCTAGCCATCCATAAATGTATCTTTTCTTCCTCTTGCTGTTTAACTACAGGTGGGAGAAAACCATACACTCTAACTCACTTTGTGATAAAACTATGGATGTCAGTCTGCTTACATTTTATGTTTCTGTGATTGCAAATATAGTTTTTTGCCATATGTCAAAGATAGTCTTATTTCTTCTTCCACTTAGACTTAGCATTCACCGGCTGTAAATGCTGGAACAAATTTCTGGTGTTCGTCCACTTCCAGACTTGAGTCTTGTTACAGAACTTGAATTCTATATGTGTGTAAGTTTTAGAGATCTGGATTACTTTCATGCAGTCTCTTGGCTACTCACCTCTTAGTCAGATGCTCTCAAACTTGGGAGAAAACAATCCTTAGCTGCTCATGACATGCTTTGTGAGGAGGCTGTATGTTTATTCTGTTTTCCTCCAGAAAGAACAGTGTAACCCACATGGCCAGATGCTGCTGATGGGGTATGGTACTTGGCCTTCTCGTACGAAGTAGAGAAGCTAGCTGTCTTTCTCATTACAATTCGACTTTTTACGCTTTTCCCAGAAATGTCTCTTATAAAATTTTGTGAGGGTCTGGATCGGTCCTCAACCTTTTTGCCTCTGTTAAGCCTTAAATTTAGTCACTGCCAGTTGTGCCACGTCCCTGTAAATGGGGATAAATGGCTTTGTCTTTAGTGATCAAACGTAGTTAAATTACATTAGTTCCCTTTTTGACTGTCTGGTGTTTAATAGAGGATATAACTTTAAAAAAAAAAAGAGCATCAGCGTCTCCTTATTACCCCAGTAGCTTTTTGAAAGCCAAGTTATCTCTAGTTTTCCCCGTAGGCTTCAGTGGTAGAGGTCGAGGAGTCACAGTGTAAGTTACCTGATGCATTTTTTTTTTTACTTTTGTACTCAAGGGAATGCATTCTTCTTCTTCTTCTTTGCCTTTAGTTTCTTAAGCTGAGGTCAGACCATCATGTGGGTTGCTTCTTTGAACTCGCATGTCAGCTGCAGGTCCTTCATGATTCCCCATAGCTTGCTCTGCACACTTTGCTCCTTAGGCTAGGTGTATTTTCGGAGTTGTAGGTAGAGTGGGCAGGTCTGTAGAGTGTGCTCGGGTGTTTGTGGTCATGTCTGACAGGCACAATGTGGGGACTGTACGATCGTTATTTTATGCATGTGGTAGTTGAGCTTGCGGTGTCCTGTTCTTAGATGGGAAATTGATGTATGATGCTTTCTGTTGTGTCTGCTGTGGGGTCTTGTGGATATTTGCTGTTGATTTGTTCTCTCCACAATTCCCTTGATAGAATGTATTTTATATAATGCTTTACTCTGTACATGTTTATTGATCACCCCTTTATATATCTGTATATATTTAAAAAAAAATTATTGTAGATAAATACATTTTAAAACAATTTTAAAATGTCCTATGTAAGATGGGTTTTTTTAATTTATGGGGCAAAATTGTTAAGCCTGCTGTCCGAAAAATCATCCTGTTTTTGCTGGTTTATTTAACTGGGCCCACTGACTTGGCAGGCAAACAGACTAAGGTTTCCTTGTATGTAAATGTAGTAATGATATCAGAATATTTTTTAATGCATTGTACATGGTCTTGAAACTTCTTCTAGGCGTGGTGGCCGTTTTAACAGCTCTGAGCGGGAGCGAGAACGAGAGCGAGACAGATCCCCAGTTCGTGAAGACCGGGTGAGGGACTCATATCCAGAGCCTTATCGTGGTGGTGGTGGCGGTGGTAGAGGGTCAAGATTACCTCCCTATCCACCAGGAGGGTAAGTGGATATTGTTGCTGTTTCTTTGGTAATGTGTTTTTGTGTGTGGAATGATTGTTGTCCGCTTTGTGTTGATTTCAACAGTGCTGTGAGTGTTGAACCATTCAGAAAACAATGGCAAATTATTGAATGTAAATTTGTCTTGTAAAACCAACTTGTTGTCTACTCTCGGCAGCCAAGATCCACACAGAATGATAGACAACACACAGCTTTTTAGTTGATTTGCAGTCAAAACAATTTGCTGAATGGGCTGTAGGGTGCATATGAGATTTTTATTGCCGAGAGGATTATCTTGAGTGCACAGGGTTTTGTCCCTTATGACTGTGTCTTCAGAATGGCTTTCTTCCGGCCATGGGTGTCACATGAAGCACAGATTCTGTGACTGAAGTAATCACCTCCAGTGAACCCCGAGGGGGGCGAAGCGAACCTGTAACCTTTATATCAGCTCAGTCACTTAGTTGTGAAGAACCACTGAAAGATCAAGAGTAGCATTTCATTACCGCATTTCTCTGTATGGCTCTGCAAATGCTCTATAACAGTTCACGTACACATTTGCTTTTTCTCCCCTCTGTTATTTGTTATTGTCCAGCAGCACATTAAGATACTTAAGGTTTTATTTTTGTTTGTTTTTAAAAGATGACATATTTGCTTCACAGGGACTTTGGACCTAGAGATCCATATTTTCCAGAACCATACCGAAGAGGAGGAGGGTTCCCAGACCCTTGGTTTGGAGATGACCCGTACAGGTACTCCACGTCTGCTCCTGTCTTCTTAAAACACCTGTGTGGTTATTAGTGGCTTTTCTTTTGTGTTATAATGTTAATGCTATTCGGAGATCTTGTTTCATGTTGAATCGTCTGACTTTACCTGCAACTTCGTAACATCTATAAAATAGTAATTACAAGTTTATATCACAGGTGATCTTCTTCTTCTTCTTCTTCGCGTTCACCAGCTGTACACTCTGGCGGAAAGTTCTGGTTGCTCGTCCACTACTGAACTGCAGTCCTGCTCCAGAACCTGAGTGTTGCGTGTGCATCAGTTTTACAGATCTCATTCTCTTGAATACAGACTGTTGGTTCCTTGCCTCTCCGGCTGATGCACTCCGACTTCAAAGGAGGCTCCCCAATTATTCGACTCTTGCGACATGCTTTTTGGGGAGGCAGTGGGTCTATTCTTGTTTTCCCCACAATGGGGCCCCGGAACCCACATCGGGGGATCACAGGTGATGATTTAAGTTTTTTATAGCAGGCAGCAGCTCAAGTTTATATCGCAGGGAGCAACTATGGTGCATATTGTAGGCACTGACTAAAGTTTTTATCACAAGTGGTGATTAAAGTTTATGTGTAAAGCACTAACTAAAGTTTTTATCACAAGTGGTGATTAAAGTTTATGTGTAAAGCACTAACTAAAGTTTTTATCACAAGTGGTGATTAAAGTTTATGTGTAAAGCACTAACTAAAGTTTTTATCACAAGTGGTGATTAAAGTTTATGTCTAAAGCACTAACTAAAGTTTATTTTTTATCACAAGTGGTGATTCAAAGATTTATGTGTAAAGCACTAACTAAAGTTTTTATCACAAGTGGTGATTAAAGTTTATGTGTTTATAGCACTAGGGACTAAAGTTTTTATCACAAGTGTCTGAAATTTAAAGTTTATTATGTTTTTAAAGCACTGAGTAATATTGCAGGTACTTAAAGTTTTTATCACAGGCAAGTGCTTGATTAAAGTTTATTTGTTTAAAGCACTAACTAAAGTTTTTATCACAGTAAGTGTTGTGTATTTAAAGTTTATGTCATAATATTTATGGACAACTAACTAAAAAGTTAATAACACCACAAGTGATGTGATTAAAGACTTTATGTGTAAAGCACTTTGCCTAAATCAATTATATCACAAGTGGTGATTAAAGTTTATGTGTAAAGCACTAACTAAAGTTTTTATCACAGGTGGTGACTAAAGTTTATATTACAGATATGGCTAAAGATTATATGACAGGTGGTGACTAAAGTTTATATTACAAGTATGGCTAAAGACTATATGGCATCGAAGCAAGTATCCCAAAGCCAACAATATCACAGATGATGATTAAATTTTAAAACTACCTGCTGTCCCAGCTGAGGCACTGACTAAAAACAATCTTTATAGCGCAGTAGGTCACTAAAGTTTGTATTACAGGTATGGTTAAAGATTATATCACAGATGGTGACTAAATTGTATACTGGCAGTGACTAAAGTTTATATTGCAGGTATTGCCTGAAGTTTATATTATAAATAGGGACTAAAGTTTATATAGCAGGTATTGTCTGAAGTTTATATCAGTTTATGTGAATAAAGTTTTTATCGCAGGCATTACCTGAGTAATATTGCAGGTACTTATCAGAGTTGATATCACAGGCAGTCATTAAAGTTTGTATCGCCTGCAGCTTCCACATCATTTGTCTTCAATTAGCCTAATGTTCCTGATTCACTTGTGAACCTCCAGGCTTGGCTCTGCATGACTAAACTCATTTCCTCATCTAGGTGGATACAGAAAAAAAAATAGATTGCATTCTGAGCAATCTGCCTTCATCATTTGATGTGAGAAAAAGAGTTACCGTTCATTTCTTCCCTGACTGATGTTGTCAACGTGAGCAAATTTACAGTATTAAAGAATCACCTAGTAGCCCATCCTCTGTTGAATTTAGCAAACATGGAAAACAAGGGTATTACAGCTTAGTCTAGGGTTTGTTTCACCAATTATTACTCATTTTTGCCCGTGTGGGTTCCAGGGCCCTATTGTAGGGAAAACAAGAATGGACCCACTGCTTACCCAAAAGTATGTCTGGAATGAAGCGTGGCTTGACTTGGAATGTGTCTTGACTGTCTACTATCTTGGAATGAACCTTGAAATGATGCGACACTTGAAATGTACCTTAGCTCACTACATATTGGCTTTCGCCATGATTCACTCTCTGGATGTTTTCTGTGACATAACTTGCACTCCTCTAACGTCTAGGGTTGAGAACACAAACTCCACTCGGCTTCTTTGTACATACCATCAGTTTAATCAGTCATATTTAATCAACATGTTTCCACAATTATTCAGACTTCTATCGCTCGCGACATATTCAAATACTGATCACACACACGACTTAGGGACTATCGCTTTTACTAATACAACTGTCTTCTACGACTACTGATGATCAACTGATCACGAGTCTAGCTCGGGCTTCCCCTCGCTTACTCGACTAGCCACAAGTATCTCTCGCTGTCACTTGTAGCACGGACTTTCTGCTTGCCACAGTGTAATCGTGGAGACCATGCAAAGCACCTCATCACAATGTCGTAAGAGTCGACTAATTGGGGGCTTTCTTCGAAGCCGGAGTGCATCTGCCTGAGAGGCAAGGAAGCAGCAGTCTGCTTACAAATGAGTCAGATCTGTCAAACGGATGCACATGCAACACTCGGGTTCTGAAACATGGCAGCAGCCCAGAAGTGGATGAACAACCAGAACTTTTCGCCAGAGTTTACAGCTGGTGCAAAGAAGAATACTGATTTTTTAATTTTTTATTTGTAATTTTGCCAAATATTGAGAAAAGTCTTTGTTGCCATTGTATGTCTACAGACCTGATCCATATGCAGAACCATACAGAGATCCGTACAGAATAAGACCACCTCCACCTCCTATTGAATGTGAAATATTTGTTCTCAATGGACAATTGAGGTAACTAGTAAATATGTTGTATCACTGAACATTATTTCAAACACAGGTACTCGGGTACAAATAGTTCTGATATACTAAGAGAAGAAATGCAATCTATACTTGGATACAAACTTCAACAGCTCTGATATACTAAGAGAAGAAATGCAATCTATTCTTGGGTACACACTTCAACAGCTCTGATATACTGAGAGAAGAAATACAATCTATACTTGGGTACAAACTTCAACAGCTCTGATATACTAAGAGAAGAAATACAATCTATACTTGGGTACAAACTTCCAACAGCACTGATATACTGAGAGAAGAAATACAATCAATACTTAGGTACAAACTTCAACAGTTCTGATATACTGAGAGAAGATATACAATCTATACTTGGGTACAAACTTCAACAGCTCTGATATACTGAGAGAAGAAATACTATCCATAATATAATATAATCTAGAAATGAGGTATACTGTGCCCTAAACATCTGCTAAAATAAAATGTTCCGTCTTATAAGACCAAGATCATAATATGTAAAGCGCTGATGAGACCAGTCTTTTAAAATGGTTTTGAAACCTTGAGTACAATTAAAATAGAGCTTTAAAAAACAAAACAACTCTTGAGAGCAGTTGAAGAAATTTGTGGACCCATCTGAGATGCAAACTGGAGAGAATAGGAAATGAAAAGCAGCAATGAAATTCCTAACCTGTTTAAATCACCACTAATTACTGGCATTATGAGGGCTGTTCGACTGCACTGGGTGGGGTAAATATAGAGAATAGCATATACCAGAGACAGAAAGCACAGAAGAGTTGAATAAGAATAGGAAGATGTACATTCATTGATTGTCTTGTTGTACCATTATATGTCACATGCGGCTTTGAGTCTGTTCCTCCATTCCTTTCTTTCCTATGCAGCCAGTTGAGTATCATGGATGGAATCCAGTCTTGCACCTTTGGCCGCTTGTAAACAATTGTTTTAGGATTTCTTTTGAGCATCCCCACCTCCTTAATCCCTGATATCCTTTTTTAGTGCCTATTTAGTGATTCTCTGCTGGTTTCTTTGCATGATTTGTATAGCGCCATCTTCTCTGTCTTATAACTGTTAATACTTGTAGTTGCCTAGACATTTCTTTATCTCTTCACCTCTGTGCCTATAATATACATTAAAAAAAGGCCAGTCACAGATGGATGTAGGTGGGCGATATCAGTAGAAATTAACCCCAATGGATTTCTGGAAAAGAAGAATATGTTTTTCAAGCAAGTTTAAAAAATCCTAATGTCTTTGTTAAAACAGCAGACACTGCTTACATCAGTGGTGCATGTGACTTATGATGCTAGGCTAATATTTTTATAAAACAGTCACCACTTGACGGGGGCAGTGGTCTGTATCAGAATTCAGCTTTACTGCCACCAAACGGTTAGGCTGGGTCAGCCGGGATGCATAGCAATATAAAAATACAATGACTACCTTTTATTTTGCCCCCCTTTTTATGGAAAGGAAACCGGACTTTAAAAAAAAAAAACTTCGACTCCCAGGTCAACCCAACCTTGAGTGGGTACCGGGTGCAGTCCTGGTAAGTAAAGATGGCCGGCATGATGCTGACCGCGTCACCCATCTTGTGCTGATTGGTCTATAAAAATATAGGTCTAGCCCTATATGCCCTATAAGCCTAAAGGCGTGGAAAAGGGACCTTTACTTTTTTACTTTACTTATTAAAAAAATGGATATGGGTAAATGGGTTGTGGTGACAGGATGTCCCTGGGGGGGGGGGGATGCCCACATGGCATAGGACACGCATTCACGAGTTGGTTTAAAGTTCCTCACTCAGGACTTCCCGATCAAGCCCTCATATGGACACCCTTAGGGGAAGAAGAGGGTGGAAGACCAGGACACACCTTGTGTAGCACTATCGTCAGAGAAAGCTCAACCATGGACCTAATGTAAAACAGGTGGCAACGAACTGCCAGACATGGACGACATGGAGAACTATGACCTCTGCTCTATGCACCGCCCTAGGCTCAAGAGGAAAAACTGACTAACCCACATACTGTGCGGAAACTGTTTGGGCACTTGGCCTATATACTTTGGCCCTGAAAACACTCTTGACACAAACTAATAATGGTCCTGTGCCATGCTGATACGTGTAGGTGAACAGCATTTGCTGCCTCACACGGTCACTAAAGTCATGGGTCAGAATTTCCAGTGTGGGTCCCGGGATATCTCATTTGGGGGGAGATGAAGAATAGAAGCACAGCCCTGTTAGCAGGCATGTCATAAAAGGCAAATAGTTAGGGATGTTTCCTTTTAAGTCGGAGTGCATCTGACTGAGAGGCGAGGGACCAGCAGTCTGCATGCATACAAGCCAGATCTGTAAAACAGATGTGCATGCAAAACTCCAGTCCTGAATCAAAACCAAGTCCAGAAGTGGATGCACAGCCAGAACTTTTCTGCTGCAGTTTGCAGCCAGTCAACGCAAAGAAGAAGAATGGATCAGACTAGTTTTGTTGTCTCAGCCAGGCCATCTGATGTATTCTCTCTCTCTCTCTCTCTCTCTCTCTCTCTCTCTCTCTCTCTCTCTCTCTCTGTGTGTTTCTCTCTCTCTCTGTGTTTCTCTCTCTCACTCACTGTCTCTCTCTCTCTCACTCACTGTCTCTCTCTCTCACTCACTGTCTCTATCTCACTCACTCACTGTCTCTCTCTCGCTCTCTCTCTCTGTCTTTGTCTCTCTCTCTCACTCTCTGTCTCTCTCTCACTCAGTCTCTCTCTCTCTCTCTCACTCACTGTCTCTCTCTCTCTCTCTCTCTCTCTCTCTCTCTCTCTCTCTCTCTCTCTCTCTCTCTCTCTCACTGTATCCCTCAAATTCTTGTTTGTTTCCTGTTTTTCCACCATGTTTGCTAAATGACACACATTTGTATGGTTTCCCCTGTAATTTGTCTAACCAATCTAAATGCGTCCTATATCTCAAGGACTGCCACATCTGTTTTTCTATAATTGGTTGAATGTAACATAAATATTGCCAAAGAAAACAAAATCATTCATGGTTGCAGTTTAAATAACACATTACACAACACTGATATGGCCAATAAAAAATTGTCAGTGTAGAAAGCCTGATCATTTTTTTTTTTTGTTGTTTGAATATTTAAAGGACTTACGGTGAAATTGTGGAGCGCAAAATAAAGGAACACAAAATCATCACTGCCGTGTCGGTCATCCCTGAAGGAAGGACACCCCAGCAGTTAGTAGAAGAAGTGACCACACAGAATGCCCTGTTTGCCATCTTCATAAATGTTCAGAATGAGGTGCATCGCTCCCTGACGGTCAACATTTTGCATGGCACTCCACAAGGTATGTCTGTGGTCAGTCGATAGTCAACGTTTTTAATTGCCTCCTTTCTGTGTCAGTGAAAATCATACAAATTACTCATCACTGTCCTGGTTTGAAAACTAATGAACAAACTCTTTGGTGAAGTGATCAAGCCATTTGCCTCGTGTTCTGAGGGTTGTAGGTTTATTTCATGGCTGCGCCATTCGGTTTATGAGTGCAGTTTTTACAGAGGTCCCTGGAGATCATCGACAGAGCTCGTGCTCTGTGCCACGCTATCAGCAGGCAGCTAGCCGATCTGAGGAGAGAGACAAAGCCCTATAGGATAATACCAAATGAAGGTGATCCTCTCGACTTTAGCCTTTAACTGTAATAAACAAACAAATTAGTTCCAGCAAAATCAATGCATGTGGTTTACAGCTAGGCTGAGACATTTTACCCTTCAGCCCAACACATCTGGTTTCAGTTTAGCTGCCTTTTGTTCCGGGGCACTTCCCCCAAAACACTGTTTCTTAAGCAAAATTGCGCAGTTCAACTTGCTCATTCCAGTATACCGTTTCCGAAGCAAACTATACATAGTTTGATTTATTCATTCTACTATACCGTTTCCGAAGCAAACTGCGTAGTTCAACTTGGTCATTCCAGTAAACCGTTTCCAAAGCAAACTATGTGTAGTTTCATTTATTCATTCTAGTATACCGTTTCCGAAGCAAACTATGAGCAGTTCAGCTTGCTCATTCCCGTAAACTGTTTCTGAAGCAAACTATGCGTAGTTTGTATAATTTATTCGAGTATACCGTTTCCGAAGCAAACTATGTGCAGTTCAACTTTCTCATTCCTGTAAACTGTTTCTGAAGCAAACTATGCGTAGTGTAATTTATTCATTCCAGTAAACCGTTTCCGAAACAAGCTGTGCGTAGTTTAACTTGTTTATACCAGTAAACCGTTTCCGAGACACTGCATAGTTCAGCTTGTTTGTACCAGTAAACCGTTTCCGAGGCAAACTATGCGTAGTTCAGCTTGTTTATACCAGTAAACCGTTTCCGAGACAAACTGCGTAGTTCAGCTTGTTTATACCAGTAAACCGTTTCTGAGGCAAACTATGCGTAGTTCAGCTTGTTCATACCAGTATACCGTTTCCGAGGCAAACTGCGTAGTTCAGCTTGTTCATACCAGTATACCGTTTCCGAGGCAAACTGCATAGTTCAGCTTGTTTATACCAGTAAACCGTTTCCGAGACAAACTATGCGTAGTTCAGCTTGTTTATACCAGTAAACCGTTTCCGAGGCAAACTGTGCGTAGTTCAGCTTGTTTATACCAGTAAACCGTTTCCGGGGCAAACTATGCGTAGTTCAGCTTGTTTATACCAGTAAATCGTTTCCGGTGCAAATTGCGTAGTTCAGCTTGTTTATGCCAGTAAACCGTTTCCGAGACAAAGTGCGTAGTTCAGCTTGTTTATGCAAGTAAACCGTTTCCGAGACAAAGTGCGTAGTTCAGCTTGTTTATACCAGTAAACCGTTTCCGTGGCAAACTGTGCGTAGTTTAACTCTTTTGTGGCTGCCACTGTATTGATCGAAACGACCATAAGCCAGTCATTTTTGCACAGCCCATTTTCATTGAAATAAATCTTTATCCACAAGACCAATAGCATGTATGTGTTTTTAATTATCAGCTTGTAGCTCTAACTGTCTCACTTTAAATACTTGAAAAGTACAAATTTTTGTTTGCTAAATGTGATTGATAAACTGCGTCTGCAGCTCGCATGAATTATACATAATTGAACTCATTCTTTTAGAGAATCTTTTTGCGAGACGTACTATGCTTAGTTAAATTTATTCATGTCAGTAAACAGCTGCAAACTGACACAGTTTACTTATCCGTTCCGTGAAACGGTTTCTGAGGTAAACCGCTTATTGTTTAACTCAAGCGTTCTGTTAAACCGCTTCCAAGGCAGACTTCACATAGTTTAAATTCGCTGTTCAGAGAAACTGTTTTGAACGCAAACTGCATTATAGTACACTTATTCGGCCTGCTAAATCGTTTCCAAGGCAGATTGCACAGTTTAAATCACATGAACTGAGAAACTATTTTTGATGCAAACTGCATATTGTTAAACTCTTGGAGACACTGCTTTCTGAGGCGAACAATGCAGTTTAACTTGTTCTTTCCAGTAAACTATTTCCAAGGCAAACTACTCGAAGTTGAACTTGTTCATTCCGGTAAACCATTTCTGATGCAAACTATGCATAGTGTAACTTAAGTTGTTCTTTGCAACGTCTTTGTGTCTGTCACTGTAGTGAATAAAACGACAGTAAGCTGACAATTTTTGCGCAAACCGTTTTCAGCAAAATAAAACTTTATCAGGATCATTAGCATGTATGTGTTTTTAATTATCATTTTGAAGCAATAACCATCTGTTTGAATACTTGAAATTAAGCTTGTTTATTTGAATCAGTCGCTTGTTTGTTTGAATCAGTCATCTCTGAATTATAAATTCTGATGTGCGCCAGAGGTGCTGAACCCACACATAGTGGTGTAGAGAAGCCAGGGTCAAGTCCTGTCTGCATCTCTTCGCAGTCATCCATTGTACATGTTCTCCGCTTATGGGGGGGAGGGGGGGGTCTGGCCAACTTAGATAGGAAGGAACCAACAATCTGCGCAAAAAGAAACCGGATCTGTACAATGAATGTGCAAGCAACTCTTCAAGTCCTGAAACAAGATAAAAGTTCTGTAGCAGACAAACAGCGTGGATTTTTATCGTGGTATGGGATGTCGCAGGTCGACCCAGCCTCAAACGGGTACCAGGATGGGCTGTCCTGGGAAAGTAAAGACGGCCGGCGTAATTCTGACCACATTACCCACCATGTGCCGATTGGTCTGTAAAAATATGGGTGTTCTTCCCAAATGCCCTATGCGCCTAAGGGCGTGTAAAGGGATCTTTAATTTTTTTTTAACTTAGCAGACAAACATCCAGGAAGTGATCTTTGATAAATGCTGGTGCATTAAAACTGAATTTTCTTTATAAGCTGCACAAATACAAATTTTTGTTATGTGTGAAATCTAGACCGCAACTGAAGCTTTGCATTATTTATGCATAATTCATTCTTTCTGAGAATCTCTTTCTGAATCCAGCTACAGAACTCATTTGCTCCAGGAAACTGTTTTTGAGTTAAACTGCTAAAAGAAATGCTGAATATAACACAAACACAGAGGGATGGAAAGGATGCACACAAATACAGCCAAATGTTTCGGCTATAATTTTGTATCATCAAGGTTCTGAAATGGTTTAACTCATCATTCCAAGAAACAGTTTCCGAGGTAAACTGCACATTGTTAAGCTCATTATGTCCGTTCAACCGCTTGCTGCTTGAACTCATTCATTGATTTAAACTGCTTCCTGTAAGTGATAAATAGTAACTATAGTTCAGATAAGTTATAAACTCATTTATTCCGCAAACTGCAAAAAAGTTTGATTCATTCATTCTAAGAAACCGTTTTCGGTGTTCAGCTTTGCATTGTTGAACACAGTGGTTATGATAAACCACTTCCAAGGCAAACCACATAACTCACTTGTTTCGAGAACCTCTTGAGAGAGTAACTGCACATGGTTTTAACTCATTCGTTCCAATAAACTGTTCTGAGGAACTGCTTTTGGGGAAGACTCATTCGTTACAAGAAACCTCTTCCAGTGTTAAGCTATGCATTGTTAAACTTATTCATTCCGATAAACCGCTTCCAATGTTAAGCTGTGCATTGTTGAACTTTTTCATTCGGATAAACCGCTTCCAATGTTAAGCTGTGCATTGTTAAACTCATTCATTCCGATAAACCGCTTAGTGTTAAGCTGTGCATTGTTAAACTCACTCATTCCGATAAACCGCTTCCGATGCTAAACCGTGCATTGTTAAACTCATTCATTCGGAGAAACCGCTTCAACCTGCACATAATTTAACTTGTATGTCCGGAGAAAAACCTCTTCCAGGGCAAACAGCACATAGCGTAACCCGCTGACTACAAGACACCATCTCCAGTGTTGAGCTGTGTTAAATTCATTCGTTCCGACAAACCGCTTTCGGGGCAAACTGCAAATAGTTGAACATGTTTGTTCGGAGAAACCGCTTTGAACTACATATTTAAAAACTCATTCATTCTGATAAACCTTTCCGAAAAATTGCTGCGGGGGTAAACTGTGTGAAGCTTAAATCATTAATTATAAGAAACGATTTCTGTGCGAACTGCACATAATTCAGAGCAACCATTTCCTTGGCTTGCGACCATCCGTGCCTTTTAAGTAAGGGATCATTAGCCTTTGACTTTCTCACAGACTGTTTTTCTGTGAAATAAAATTAGCGACTACAGTTTCGGAAATTTGCTATCTTTTCGACAATTTCCGTTACCATAGAAACCGTTTAAAACTTGTTTCGGAAATGTCGGCTGGGGTTTCGGGATGGGTCCTAATCTCTCATGAAATTTTGCCATTGGTGTGATTTTCACCCACTCTAAATAGCTGAAAACGGCGGGAAGGAACCCGATTAACAGCGCATGTCTACGACAGCCGGACATTCTCTGTTTTTCTGTTAGTCTATCAGTTTGATTGAAAATAGCGGTAAATTCGAGGTTGGCTTTAGGCTTAAACATTACCAGTTGTGGTAATGCTAGTTACAATTGAATTCTCCGTCCAATTTTACATTTGCATATTAAATTTTTTTTCCCGACTCTGGCTGTTTAGATTTACAGTGACATTTTTTTAGGCAATCGCATGCGGCTGAGTGAGCTGAGTCTCACTGCCTGCCATCTTGTCCAATGACAGTCCAGTGTCAACAAAGCCGATACAGAACTGCGCAGTAGGTTGCGCAGTGAAAAACTTCTTGTTTCTGGGACGCAAGTTTTAGCGGCTGTTTCTTACATCTCATCTCCACAAAAACCTACATATCTCAGCTCAGAAATGACATACAAGCCTAAATGAGGTACCATTGGAAAGAGATTGTTTACAGCTATCTAACTGTGCTGGTTTTATTGGTGTAGAGGGAATTTTAAAAATTTGACTGAAGTACCTAATAAAATGTTACCAGCAAGACTAGTGCCGTGTATGTTTTTAATTTTCAACTTGAAAACTTGATCTGGCTTCTTCTTAGCATGCGGCAGATGTTAACACATGTGAAAGGTTCTGTTTGTTTGTCCACTCCTGAATTTTGGTCTTAGTCCAGAACTTGAGCTTTGCATGCACATCAGTTTCACAGATCTGGCTTATTTGTATGCAGACTGTTGGCTTCTTTCCTCTCAGGCAGAAGCACTCTTGACTTTGCAGGAAAAACCCATAATAAAACACCTCCTAGGACATGCTTGTAAGCGGGCAGTGGATGTATTCATTGTTCTCCAAAACGAAGCCCTGGAACCGACACGGAAAATGTGTAAAGTAACAGACTTGCCGAGTGTTTGTTTTCTGGAACGCTCCCTAACGAGCGGATCATTAAAGAGACTATTAACTCTTACAGGTTCATAAATTTTGACAGACTTGGCCCACATTAATTTCCCTTTACAAAAATGGCAGAGGGGTGGGTGTACAAGAAAGGCTATAGAGATTGTAATATACTTCTAATCCCTATAAAAGTATATACTTTTTTAAAAGAGAAATGAATGTACATTTTGAATCTGATGATAAGTGTTTGTTTGATTTTGTTATAGTTAGTGGGAAAGAAGAATTCAGCAGGTGTTAATTTCACAAGGACAACATTTCACAAACAAAATTCTTCACTTACCATGGTTTTGCAGCCACAAGAGTAGTAAATATCCAAATTTGAGAACAAAACTTCAAAGTGTGTTCAATTTCCTAACATATTCCAAAGTTATAACTTTCTGGGTTAATTTAGCACTCAGGGGCTCACGGAAAGGATCTGCTATTCTTACCAGTTTCCCCCAATGCATGCCTTTTACCTTTTTTTTTTTTTGCAGAATATGTCATAAATGTTTGCAAGATTCACAAAAGAATGCTTCCTCATACAACATAAGATGCGACTAGATGTTATGTTCTAGTTTGCTGTTGCTTCCTAAGTTGTCAGCTCCTAAACTTCTTATAGTCCTTGCTGTGTCAGATCATTCTGAAGGATTTGCCTCTCTACAGTAAGCAGAGAAACTTAGCAATAGAGCATATGATGCATTTTCTGTCTAGGATATTCAGGCATGAGCAGGCTGATTGGCTGCTGCAGCACCTCTGGACGTTGAGCTAGTTTATGATAGAGTGGACTTGGTGAAGAGTGAAGGCTCTTTGAGATCACACAGACAGTGCAATAGAAGAGACAGAGAATCTGTACCTTGTAAGACGATTTCAGCAGAAGCGATTAGAGGTTCCTGGGGGATGTTCAACACTGAGCAACACATGAGCAGAGGTTTAATCAGGTTGCAACTGGTACCATTAGCATGTCCACCCTTTGTTGGCTACTGAGGAAAGAGACTGAGCACACATGTGAATGTCCAGAATGCAATGAAGTCATTTCTTGATCTATTCATTCAAGAAAGATATTCTGGCCCACTGCAGTCCTCTAGCTTTGGGAGAGAACTAATTTCCAGTGGACCAAGAGGTGAAGAAAAGATAGGACATACGTTGAGAAAACCTGAGCACAGTATAACTACAATGTCTTTGCTCTGGAGCCCACAAAGGCTTAGTAATAAAGGAAGACACAAAAGCACATGGAGAAGGGAGCTAGAGAGCTGCAGGTGAAGGATACAGCAAGTTGGCATGAGTTGGGGGGCTAGAAAGGCAGAAGAATACTGCAGTCCTCTGAGTGTTGAGCTACTTCTTGAAAAAGCGGATATGGTAATGGATCAAATGGACACTGCAGCAGACCAATTCAGCAGGAGGTGAGCATAGGTTATGGATGATGTTCATTGCTGAGGGAGATTCATAGGCAGGCAGGTTTTTGTTGTTGCAGCTTGCACTCTTATCATGGAACTCTCTGTTGGCTTCTTAGAAGGAGACAGAATGTGTGGCAATGTCCAGAGGGCCGTGATTCACTTCTTGATTCATTCTATCATCACGCGGGACTGTGTGGAACTACAGAGCCATTACAAACAAAATAAAAAAATAAAAAACTACTTGAAAGGATAGAACTTACTTGTAATTATCACTCCTAAATTGGTGTTAGGTACAGTCCTGGGAAGTAAAAGTGGCCGGCGTGATGTTGGCCACCTTGCCCATCAAGTGCTGATTGGTTTGTAAAGTGTAGGTCTAGGACCGTATGTCCAGTAGGCCTGAAGGTGTAGAAAAATGTCCTTTACAATTGCAGGAGAAAGGAGGGATTTCTTCTCCAGTATTCTGAGCCCTTGAGTTCCTTGCTCCAGATATCACCCACCTCCATTCATCTCTATGATAGCCCTTCTCTGTCCAGTTGGTGACTCCAAGTGCTTATAGGTTCTGCCTGTATATTATCTCTCCACCGTCTTCTTGGTCTGCCTCATTCAACTCTTTTGGTGTTCGCAGAACGATCATTTATTAATTTTCAATCTTGGGCTAGTGATAATTGAGAGACATGATGTCTTGATATTTGCTATTAATTTGCAACTGCTGCTTTTTAAAATTATTTCTAAACAACGTATTGATGTCATTCAGAGGTGGACAACGAAGAAATATCTGCTTGCCAGTTGGTAAGTGTTTTAAAAGATTTGTGACATGTTATTTATCACGATCATTGTAAGTAGGTATATGTTGCATGCATATAGACTCCATCACAGTTTTTTTTTTTTTTGCAACTGCTTTCTTGAACATCGCAGAGCACAGAAACATGCCCCTTGAGGATGCAATATCACTGGTGGGACGCAGCTTTCTCAAGTACATTGACGGTTTGCGCGAGAAAGTGCAGGCGCCACCTGTTGTGCCGACTCGAGTTTTTCTGCCGCCATCCTCGGAGGTGATTTATCTTCTGAACTTGCTGGCTGACAGCCGGGCGGTGACTATTCCTGAGCTCGACACAGTTATCAAGTATTTGCAGGAGCGGCGAGAAAAACTGATCGATGCCGAGAGCCGCCCAGTTATTACAGATGGTTAGACAACCTTTTTTGATATTTTTACCCTGTATGTTTTGTTCTTCATTCATCCTTTGGGTTTTTGGGTATCAGGGTTGCTTCTTTTTTCTTGTTTTGCAGTTTACTTTTAATTAAAACCATTTATTATTCTTTTCTAACGAGGTATTGTCTGCTGAGCCTGGTATTAGCTCAGATATCCATTTCAAATATTCTGCTTTGGCACACTCCAGTTTTCTTATGTCAACAAGAAGTAATGGCATGTCCGTATTGCAAATTTCTTTTCAATTGCTTTATTTTGTTAATGTTAACATTCCCTTTTGCTTTCTTCTGTTATCATTTTTTCTTTTAACTGTTAAAAAAAAATGTTTTTTAATCTTAAAGCACATTCAGAATGCTAAATTGGCAATTTTTCATAGCAATTTCTCTATTGATTTCTCAGCTGATTTATACAGTGTCCAATACCGACTTCTTGTGATTAGTATTGACATTCTTCTCGGGGGGTTAGGATGATTTCCTTTAGTGTGTTTTCTGTGGTGTTAAAGATTGTTCGTGTTTTATAGGTTCTATGTGGTACTGAGGTAAGTAGATCATCGTCCCTGACTGTATTGTTTTGTTCATTGCAAGTTTTTATGTAGATAATTGTTCATGTTAATAGATACTTCACTCTCTTTATCTTTAAAAAAAAGTGCTAACTATTCTGCCAGAAAGGTGCAGAATTAGTGCAGTAATGGCTTAATACTGGTACTCTTAGTATGTCAACTGTTAGCTGCTGAAGTGGAGGACCGAGCAGGTGTGGGAATGTCATGAGCACAGTGATGTCAGTTCATGATTCATTCATTCATGGCCTCGGCTCCCATGTTGATTAAGCCTAAAATGAGTAGCGATTAAAGATCCAGGAAGAAAAGGGGGCCATATTGATTTTGACCACATCACCCCCCATCGAGTGCTGACTGGTCTAGTCTAGCACCATATGTGAGCCTTAAACATCACTGACTTACTATACTTGTGACTTGTAAGGCTAGTTCAGTTTTTCCACAGGCCAGTTTTCACAGTTCTTCACTGACCAGTTCAGTTTTTCATAGGCCATTTTACAGTTCTTTACAGGCCAGTTCAGTTCTTCATAGGCTAGGCTAGTTCACAGTTCTTCACAATTCTTCACAGGCCAGTTCACAGTTCTTCACTGACCAGTTCAGTTTTTCATAGACCATTTTACAGTTCTTCACAGTCCAGTTCACAGTTCTTCACAGACCAGTTCACAGTTCTTCATAGGCTAGTTCACAGTTCTTCACAGGCCAGTTTTCACAGTTCTTCACAGGCTAGTTCACAGTTCTTCACAGGCTAGTTCACAGTTCTTCACAGGCCAGTTCACAGTTCTTCATAGGACATTTCACGGGCCTTCACAGGCCAGTTCACAGTTCCGCACCTAACAGTAGACTGAATAAACAAATGCATGCATGGTCATCATCTGTCGTCTTCAGTGCAACACCCATGCATTGAGCAAAAGTATATCTCTTTCTGTGATGTCACTTTTATCCCTTCCAGTTTATATCTTTTTAGATTTCTGTGCTCCTTCTCTCTCTGGCTTAGGCGTTGCACATGCGCTTCATAATTCCTGGATGCCTTTGTCTATTCCAGCTGCAAGCCATTTAGCAGCAGACCACTTTGCAGTGGTTTAAACAGTGGCACCGAGAGCTGACCGTTCAAGAAAGCAGTGGCAAACTACTGAACATAGAATTGCCTTGTGAAATCACAAATCCTGGATTTGGTTCTGCTGTGTCCTGTAAGGGATAGGCAACTAACTTCTCTCTAGGGACCATGGAAGAAAGTCTTTAATGGTCGATTTTCTGTTCTGAAAAGTGGCTACATTTTTCCCGAGCCATACTGTGGTCAGTCCTCTCCTCTCTTCTACCCTTCGTCACCCAGTGGAGCATAGGTCCCTGACCAGCCCCCCACTCCAGGTCATCCTGTCCCTTGCTATCACATGTGGTTAACCGAAGTCTTCTCCCTTTTTTTTTTAACTGCACTCTCTAGCTGTCTTTCCTATGTGTTTTTGGTGGGCATCTGTTTCATGCAACTCTGGTAGAGCCTGTCTTATAACAATGAGCACCATATACCTTCTTGTATATTGCTTGTGACAAAGAAGATGGTAGTTTACTATAGTTTGTCATATAGAAAAGACTAGTTTACTAATGTCTGTCACATAGAAGAGAATGGGTCATTATTGTTTGTCACATAGAAGGAGAATAGTTTGCTAGTGTGTCTCAAAGAAGGGAATAGTTTACTGTTTTGTCAATTAGAAAAGAATAGTTTACTATTGTTTGTCACATGAAGAGAATATTTTACTGTTTGTTTGTCACATAGAATAGTTTACTTTTGATTGCCACATAGAAAAGTTCACTATTAGTCACATAGTAGAAAATAGTTCACTGTCATTTCTTACATGGATGAGTATTTGTTGTTTGTTTGTTAGTCATAAAGCTGAGAATATGTAATTGTTTTTCACATGGAGAATAGTTTACTATTGTTTGTTACATAAAAGATGGCAGTTTACTGTTTGTCACATAGCTGAGAAAAAATTCTGTGTTTCTCATGTCAGTAGTTTACCATTGCTTATCACATAGCCAGGAATAGTTTATTATGATTCACCGCACAACTAAGCTGAAGATAGTTGACTGTCATGTAGCTGAAGATAGTTGACTGTTTGTCATGTAGCTGAAGATAGTTGACTGTTTGTCATGTAGCTGAAGATAGTTGACTGTTTGTCATGTAGCTGAAGATAGTTGACTGTTTGTCATGTAGCTGAAGATAGTTGACTGTTTGTCATGTAGCTGAAGATAGTTGACTGTCATGTAGCTGAAGATAGTTGACTGTTTGTCATGTAGCTGAAGATAGTTGACTGTTTGTCATGTAGCTGAAGATAGTTGACTGTTTGTCATGTAGCTGAAGATAGTTGACTGTTTGTCATGTAGCTGAAGATAGTTGACTGTTTGTCATGTAGCTGAAGATAGTTGACTGTTTGTCATGTAGCTGAAGATAGTTGACTGTTTGTCATGTAGCTGAAGATAGTTGACTGTTTGTCATGTAGCTGAAGATAGTTGACTGTTTGTCATGTAGCTGAAGATAGTTGACTGTTTGTCATGTAGCTGAAGATAGTTGACTGTTTGTCATGTAGCTGAAGATAGTTGACTGTTTGTCATGTAGCTGAAGATAGTTGACTGTTTGTCATGTAGCCGAGAACAGTCGACTGTTTGTCATGTAGCTGAAGATAGTTGACTGTTTGTCATGTAGCTGAAGATAGTTTACTGTTTGTCATGTAGCTGAAGATAGTTGACTGTTTGTCATGTAGCTGAAGATAGTTTACTGTTTGTCATGTAGCTGAAGATAGTTGACTGTTTGTCATGTAGCTGAAGATAGTTGACTGTTTGTCATGTAGCTGAAGATAGTTGACTGTTTGTCATGTAGCTGAAGATAGTTGACTGTTTGTCATGTAGCTGAAGATAGTTTACTGTTTGTCATGTAGCTGAAGATAGTTGACTGTTTGTCATGTAGCTGAAGATAGTTGACTGTTTGTCATGTAGCTGAAGATAGTTTACTGTTTGTCATGTAGCCGAGGACAGTCGACTGTCATGAAGCCGAGGAAAGTTCACTGTTTGTCATATAGTTGCGGATAGTTTACTGTTTGTCATGTAGCCTAGGACAGTCGACTGTCATGTAGCCGAGGAAAGTTCACTGTTTGTCATATAGTTGCGGATAGTTTACTGTTTGTCATATAGTTGGGTATAGTTTACTGTTTATCATATAGTTGCGGATAGTTTACTGTTTGTCATATAGTTGCGGATAGCTTACCATTGCTTAACCACAAATTTACTGTTGCTTATCACATATAGTGGCTGATAATTTAATGTGTACACAACTTTGTTTTCTGTCCAATTACAACAGATAATTTTATCAAGGGCCCACCAGTGCAGCGCTTAGAGAATCCTCAGCCTCCTAGTCAAGACAATCCTGTAGGTGCTTTAGCTGGGAGCAAAGATCCTGCGGCAACACACCTGGAACTAACAAACAAGATCTTGAGCCTGTTCACTGGGTCAGGCGGTGTACAAGGTGTTCCTCCTGCTAATGGTACACAGCAGCAGCAGCAAGGGAATTTGCCAAAGCAGCTTCCTTCGGGCACGCCAGCACCCGCTTCACAGCCGCAAGGGCAACCTGCTTCGAGTGCCAGCCTCATCAACTTCGACAATCCAAACGTGCAGAAGGCACTAGACAACCTCATTCAGAACTCACCTAATTTGCTGAAGAACTTTGGCACGAAAATGTCAGCTCCTTCACCACAGATTACGCCGGCCAATTTGGCAGCCAGCATGGGGGCTCTGTTTGGTCATGGGCTTGGGGGGATGCTGCCAGGACAGGCTGGAGGAATGGGGCAGAATAATCAAGGGATGGGTAACCTGCAGGGCGGTTATGGAGGGCTTCAGGGGCAACTTGGTGCGCAGGGACAAGGAGCGCAGGGACAAGGTGCGCAGGGACAGGGGGCACCAGGGTCGTCTCAAAGTGTCTACAGTACAGGCATATCTGGACAAGGTAGAGGTTATGCACCCCACTCACAGCAGAGGTTTTAGTTCCAGCATCCTGACATATTTGTTCTCTGTAAATTGCGTTCATATTTTTTTAAAGTTTTGGAATTGTGTGGAAATTAAGATAAAGATGAAAAGTAGAACAGTTGATAATATCACCGTTTTGTCTTTACTGGTCATTTACTTTGTGGTTATGATGTTTCTGTTGAAATAAAAGATTTAATTGTTAACACGCTTATATTACATGTTGTAGTCTCATCATGTTGATGTAACACAATTTACTGGCTAGGATTTTGACTAAAAGTCAGAAATAAAGACAATTGAAATGTTTAATTCAGTCTTGTACACTTGTTTTTCGTTATAAGAATCATTTTATTTTATAACGTCTATTATATTTCTATTATAACATGCATTGTTTCATTTCATTATAATATTCATTACAACATTTCATTATAACATGCTTTTTTGTAGTGATTTGAATCACATAATTAGTGTTGTCTTCACAAGCTACTTTATTAATTTTCATGTTTAACGTCCTGTAATTGTGCATGCTTTTATTAAAGACTCTGTGTTAAAAGTGTTTTTGCGTTTTTTTTTTTTTATCCATACAAATCATGTATCATTGCTAGAAGGGGACTGTTTTATAAATTAACCATTTAAAATCATGACTAAATAAAGTTTGTATTGTCATGAATGACTTTGCTAAATTTGTAATCTTACAATTGGAGTTGTTGATGAATGAGAAAGCATTAGCACGAAGGCACTGTTATTGTCTTCATTACTGTTTGTGCGTACCAAAAAGTTGTATATTATCTTCGAGATAAGGCTTTAAGGCTTCGTTTGAAACATTTCTGTGTCCCCCCCCCCCCCCCCCCCCTTTTTTTTTTTTTTTAAGCTTTTGCTTCTTGGAGATAGCTCAGTGAATCCCATTTTGCATGTGTAATAATGCCTTTATCAACATTTTTGCTTGCTTCTGTGGTGATCGAAAACTTACGTTTGCAATGAATACAGCACACCAGCTAGTATTAAAACTGATAACAGAGAGATTGAAAACCTCACAGGTTTTAAGTATTATGGGTCAGTATAGTAAACAGTAATGGCTACTGCTGAAGGTTAGGTTAGTTCGTATTGTTTACAGGATGTTTCAGAACCAACCCCAACAGCCAAGGGCTAGGCATATTTACATCCAGTAGTTTGCCATTGCTTTCTGGACGGTCAGCTTTCATGATACCACTGTCGAAACCAACGCAAGGCGCATGACCCGCAGCTGGGATCAATCCCGGCATTACGAAGCGTTCGCATCGACTTAGCCACAGAGCCGACAAAAGGTTAGTTGTGTCTCCTTTACAGGACGTTCAACCCTAGCAGCCCCAGGCTGTTGTGTGGTTTCTCTAGGCAAATTTACGTCCAGTAGTTTGACTGCTGAAGAGAAGTCAGAAAAAGATTTGCTTTCACAATGCAGAGATTAAACAGCGTGAAGAATTTACGGCACAGCACCTGCAAGCAAGCTAAACTAAAAATTGTGAGATGATGCATCTTTCCGATGGCAACTATTGGGTGTGAGTCATGAACTCTCACTCAGTCTTTTAAAAAAATTAGATCCGTTGAACTGAAATGCTACAGAAAAATTCTTAGACTAAGAAGAAGAAAAAACACACTGACATCGTACATGATCTGAACATCAAGGAGAATTGGCTCCTAAACAGCATTCTGTCCTGAAGGCTAAGTATTGTAGCCATGTTAAAGTCATGGTGGCCTGGAGAGAGCCATTATGGATGGTTCAGGTCTCAAAGAAATGAGGCAGACCTCAGCAAATGTGGGCACAAGACATTGAAGATGCATTGGCTGTGAAAGCACATAGGGCTGGAGAAAAGGTTTGAGAAATAGAGAGACTTTCAGGTGGGCCATGATGAGAGGGATGTTCTTTGAAGGACCTGTTGATGAGACAGTTCAGCATTAATTCCAACCCCCATGCATGCTTATCTATCAAAGGTTTTCCTTACTTGTAATGTGATTGCACTCAAGAACTGACTTCATTGCATTTGAAGCTTTATGTTATTACTGTTGTTGTCTCCTGGGGAAGGAGGGAGGGTCACACAAGGAGGAGCTCAGTGTATGAACTTTTATTCCATTTATTCAGTGATTTATTCAGTCGGATTGACCCCAAGATGGATATCACAAAGATATTGGTGTTTTGAGAGACCATAGTAAAGCATGGTAATTCTGTTCGCTGACATTTGTCTTGTTACATGGTGAATTTCCAATCTCTTTTATGGTGTGCCAGTAATGGTCAGTGCTTATTCCTTACCTGCACAGGACTGGTTTTCAGTTATCAGGATGGTTGAACCATTATCTATTGTGGTTGAACACAGGGTGTCTGTCGTCCGGATTGAGATTTTATCATCTCAGGGTGTCAGGTAGCAGCGCAGAGGTGGAAGACCGGAGCGGAGTGAGAATGCTCTTAAACCATCGTGTTGGTATATAAATGCACTAACTTCAGTGCTCGTCGTGCCTACCCCAGACTTCAGGCTGCTTGGTAGAGATTGAGGGCTCCAATTTAACCTTACAGTTGAACATGGCTTACTGGGAGTTGTGCATGTTTGATTCTCATTGAGATAACCCTGTGGACTGATGGAAGAGATTGAAAACCTCACAAGTTTAAAAAAATGTTGGGTCAGTATAGTGAACAGCTCCAGCAAAAACCACAACAGCCAAAAAATGCTGGGGTTGGTTCTGCAATGTTCTGTAAAGGATATGAAACTAACTTAAAGTGAACAGCAACAGCGACTGCTTAGAAGATGTGAGAAAAAGACTTGCTTTCACAATGCAGAGATTAAACAGCATGAAGAACTTGAGGCACAGCACCTGTAATTGCTTATCATAATTATCGCCTGCCTGTATCCTCACAACTGTTAATACTTATTTATGTGTGTTTTCTGTTGGAAAGTTAAATGCATTTGTACACTAATACCTGAGGGAAATGTCGAACATAAAATGAGATGGGTGAAGAAATAATAGAAATGACTGAGCAGCCACTGATAACAGCAGTTATGAGAGAGAGAAGATGGTGTTATAGTGAACATTCACTGAGAAGAAACTAATGGAGAATCACCAGTCAGGGACTAAAATGGGAAAAGTAGGGATTGAGGACAGGACTAAAGAGAAGAAGGACGTAGAGCACGGGGTAGAGCAAGAACAAGATGGAGGGATAACATCAGAGAAACTCTACAACAGCACGATGTGCCTATGGTCGAGGCAGCCAGAAGAGCTAGAAACAGAACCTTATATCTCCCTCGACACCCACAGCGGTAAAAGAGGAAGTGAAGGAGAAGAAGAGGACAGGACTGGATTCTGTCCATGATATTAAAGAGATTTCACAGGATACAATGAAATGAATAAACCTTCTGTAGCACAACAGAGCAATGATGGTATTTGATCGGATGCTTGTGCGTCTGTTAAGTAAGTAAAGGTCCTCTTTCCACACCTTTAAACATATAGGGCTAGACCTATATTTTTATAGACCAATCAGCACAAGATGGGTGATGTTGGTCAGCATCATGTCGGCCGCCTTTACTTTCCAGGACTGTACCTTGTACGCACTCAAGGCTGGGTCAATGTGGAAGCGGGGAGGCAACGGTCATTTTTGAAAAAAAAAAAAAAAAAGTCATGCTCCGCCAGGGAGCAAACCCACGACCTTCCAATACGCACGTAAGCGTCTAGCCGCTGTGCCATGGTGACTCCCTTGTGCATCTGTTGGGTTACCTGTTTTTTGGTTATGTGCTTAATAAAATATTTTCAGTGGTATGTTTTTGAATTTCTCTTGCCTTTTTGTGTTGTACATTGTAGATTTGTGTGTGTCACTTTGCAATATGCATGAGATAGGAGACAGCTTTATATTAGATTAATCAGTAAGGCTCCATTCACAGTAGCATAGTGACTAAAAGTCCTTGCCTGTCAGCTCAAAAAATTTAACTTTGAATCTGCATTGAGGAATAGGGGATCCCAAGTTATTTCTTCAGAAAAGAGTCGCAGGAAATGCTCTGGGAAGTATAGGTGACAATATGATGTTGACTGCATTACCCATCAAATGCTGACTGGTCTGTACAAATTCGTGTGAAAGTGTGTTTTTATTTTAACTGATGGCTCACACAGCTGGATCTAATTGACTTGTTTTTGTAGTTTTCGTGCATGCTTTAAATTTATTATTTTGTTGCTGTCATCAATAAAGTGTCAATAACATATGGCTGGTGTGTCTGTGTTTTTCTCTCTGGTTTATGTTTGTGTGATGTTGTACCTGGTGACAGTCACAGATGTCTTGCTGGTTGTATGTTTGTGAAGAAAGTGTGGTTAACTGGTTAAATGTTCAGTCACGTTGTTATAATTTTGTATGAAAAAGGTTTTGGTTGGTTGGTAAAAGTTCGGTTGAGTTTCCCTGGTTGTATTTATTATGCAAAGAAAATGTGGATGGTAAGTAAGCATTGCTAACTGTTTGTGTGTTTTTTGTGTGTGTGAAGAAAGTGTGGTTGGTAAATTCTGATTGAGTTTTTTGGTTGTATTTTGTGTTTGAAGGTATGGTTGGTAGGTATGTATTCAGTTGAGTTTTTCTGGTTGTATTTTGTGTGTGAAGGTATGGTTGGTAGGTATGTATTCAGTTGAGTTTTTCTGGTTGTATTTTGTGTGAGAAGGTATGGTTGGTAGGTATGTATTCAGTTGAGTTTTTCTGGTTGTATTTTGTGTGTGAAGAAGGGTGTAGTTGGTAGATATTGATTCTGGTTGAGTTTTTTTGGTTAGTTAGTTAGTTAGTTAGTTAGTTGGGTTATCCTCATTGCACTCCGGACATGTCCATAGGTGCTCAGATCCTCCCCTCAGTATGAACCCAAACGTCCGATGGCTAATAGTACCAGTTCTATGTTGATTAACAAGTCTTCTGGCGTAACTGGTGTGCGTCTCGTTTTTTGCTGTGCCGATCTTAACTCCCAAGTCTGCCATTCTGGCGAGTGATGTGGATTCACTGCCACCAAAGTCGTCTATCCTTCCCATTTCTC